ACACCAAAGCCCTATTTCAGGGTAATAATTGTCTCTTAGAACAACTATAGCTAGTGCTGCCATCAAGTGGTTTGCAAGTCCAAAAATCCCAGCAGTCACCAAGTGGGAACTTCAGCCAGAGTCTTCAGTCTGCATGCATCTGCATAGTGGATATTTCCAAAATAATTTGTGCATCATATTGCCTTAATTGTGCTACTTAAGCTATAGCCCTTTCTTTGTAAATCTCTCAAGGCCTCTTTTGTTCCAGATCCGATTCAAATTCAGATTTCCTTTTGGTCACTTTATATATAAAGGCTAACAATGTCTTGGGTACAATATATGCATCCTCCAAAATTAGAATAGCCTCACAGGCCATTGTGTCTCTTTCTTACTAGTAGGGCCTGGAAAAGATACTAGCTTATTCTGTACTGTCTGTGGGAAGTCTCTTATGACCTCAGCCCAAACTGTTTCCCAAAATTGAACTGAATGAGCTATCACAGTTCTCATTTCTCCACTCGCTGCTTATTCTGATAGGAAAACAATCATGATAGTATCACTGTAATGAATCAATATGCTGTTGACAATGATCAAGTATAAATCTTGTTTTACTAGGTTAAGACAGTATACTAAAGAATTCAGGTACCTTTATGGGAGGAAGGAAAATGCATACCGTTGTTCTTTGTATGAAAAAGTAAATTAAGTCCAGCTTTCTTTTGATATTGGAATGGGAGAGAAAGTATAAGCCAATTCTGTCACAAAATATCAGTAACCTCCAGTCTACTGGACTTCCAAATCAAATTGTACCATGCCTGGCACAGTGAAGGCTCTCAACAGAAGTACTTTAATCTAGCTATGATCGTTAGTAATTAATCTCTAGGAACCAGCTGATTGCTTCAAAGGCCAGTTGTAAAGTGAAGTAAGTTTGTAAGATAAGCACCGCTGCCTTGGTTATTTCTTAAATTATAACCAAACTTTCTTTTTGTCCACTTGGGATTTCCTTCTGCCTAATATTTATCATGGAGGAGGATTTTTGCAATTCTAAAGATTCTCATTTGAAGTGACCCATTTCAAGAAGTGAAGGGTAGACTCATCCAACATTCAGACATAGGCTGCCATGGTAAAGCTCTCCATTCACACATCACATTTATTCAATTATCCATTCGAGTATAGGTGATGCCACAAAATGATATCTTTTACTGTTTTGCTGTCTATAGTTTCACCAAAATCCTAGTGTCTCACATTATCGACATACCTTCTGAGTTTTACTTTTGGCTCTCTAATATTGCCCCCCCATTCTCTAGCCACTATTGAAGTACATTATACCCCAAATGTCTAATAAGTCCCCAAATTTTTGTTCAACACCCTCACACCATTGACTTTTAGCAAAATTTATAGATTTTTTTTTAAATGGATACAAATTCTTTGACACTTCTGCCACTCAAAGAGCTGTGGTTTATGTCCCCTCCCTTTGAATCTAGATGATCTTATGATTGTTTCAACCAACAGACTGTGACATAAGTGATGCTACACAATGTAGAAGTGTAGGTAGAAAAGACCATGCAGTTTTCACCAAGTTCTTTTGAGAAGTTCACCTTGGAGGAAGCTAGCCACTATGTCAAAACCAGATTACTCTGAGACTGTCATGGTGAAGAGACCACATTTAGTCTTTTCAGTTAACTGTCTCAACTGATTTCAGTCTTCGTGGGGGGGGAGGGGAGCTTTGTTTCCCCCACCATGCTCCAGGCAAAGAGAGTCCAGTCCTCCAGTCAATCCTATTTTTCTTCTTCATCACCTCAAAGGTTAGGGAAAATTTTAAGCCCTGTTCAAACATATTTTTTCCTCCAATCCTCTTCTGTCTCATTGCATTTAAATTAATCAATGAGAGACCTCTTTGGCCAAGGTGGTCAAGTAAGTTAGAGTAGATTTTGTCTCCTCTCAGCAAGTCATAAGAAGCTACGAGGTCTTTGTAGCAAACTTGTCAATCTTCTCTTCTTTCAACCTGTTATTTATCAACCAGGTGAACAGTTCCACTCAGCTTAGTCATTTCACATTCCCGTTTACCATTTTATCTGTGGTGGTTTCAAAATATCTGCAATTTATTTGACACTCCTTCCCTTCAGAAGGTGGAGTCTAATTCTCCTCCTGCAGAATGTGAACTGGATTTAGTGTCTTGTTTCTAATGACTAGAATGTAGCAAAAATGTTTATATATTCACTTGACATCTTTATAGTGTTGTATTTTCCCATCCATTAAGATGAAAAATTTCCATTTATTTGTGTCTTTGAAAAATATCCTTCATTATCTTCAAAATACATCTCAAAAGTGTCCATTTCTCTCTACATCTACTCTCATCACTATAATCCAAGCCTAGACTATTACAAAATCCACAAAACGTCTACTTATGCCTGTCTCTACTTGCTGGTCAAATTATCTTGTAAGTGGATAAGGCTTTATGAAATAAGAAAAATTCAAGTAGATACCATTTTAAATATCTTTAAGTGGTATATGGCCTCGAAAACCTAGAAAATTACAGGCTATCCTCAAGTTTGAGAGCCTTTGGAGTTAAATACCAGTCTTTTTCATCAAATGCAAAAGTACTTATAGCTAATATTAAAACACATGTACATATCTGAAGAGTCAAAAAATGCAGGATCCATTTAAGTGATGGGCCTGTGGTGCAGTAGATGAAACAATTAAGTAATATGTAAAGCTAGGGTGATTATACATCTTTGTTTATATGGGACAGGTCAGATTTATGTCTCTTGTCCTAGCATAATTTTTAATAATCCCCATTTTACTTTTTAAAAAATGTCCTAATTTGGGCCAAAAACGAATGGCTACTACATACATAAAACTTATATATACATATATATATAAAAAACACTTGAATTTTATGGTAATGTACTACATAGCCACTTCCTTTAGGTTATATAACAACAGACATAACAACTATATGTAGGGTTTGGTGGATCTTTTATCACCAAAAAGAATCCAGTCAATGTCCTAGATGAAAATCTTTGGCCTAATGTAATCTAAGGAGCCCTGGTAGTGCAGTCGTTAAGAGCTACAGCTGCTTACCAAAAGGTTGGCAGTTCAAATCCACCAGCCTCCCCTTGGAAACTCCACGGGACAGTTCTACTCTGTCCTACAGGGTTGCTATGAGTCGGAATTGACTTGATGGCACCAGGTTTGGTTTCTCGGTTTAACATAATCTAAGTAACCTGAGATGGTACTTGTCTTCCTTAGTAAGTACACACCTTACAATCCCAAGAAAATCTATAAATTAAGTATGGAAAGTTTTAAAAGAACAAAAATCATATTAATATTTTTGTATTATGAAGGAAATTGCACAACTTGTTATGTATGTAGTTGATGTACATATACATACATTACTGGTCCCAATTCATCACCCTTTTCTGCAGTCATACACTTGCCATAACTTCATTGTGGAGAGAATGAGTTTTTCAGCCCCATTGATCATGGTTTGGTCATGTGGCTTGTTTTGGTCCATGGCAGATGGGCAGAAGTGATGATGTGCTAGTTCTAAGCCTCGGCCATTTCCCTTGCCTACTTGCAATTCTGTCACATAATAAAAACAGCTTCCCCAATAGGCTACTGTCTCTTTAACCTAGACCTCAGAATGCACACACATGGAATGAAACCATGGGTGCCGACCAACTCCAGTAGCAGCACTAAAGCAGAGTCCATCCTAGGGCAAGCAAATCCTAATCGACCCACAGACACAGATGATAATAAACGATTCTTGTTTTAAGTCACTGAGTTTTAAAGTGGTTTCTTATACAGAAATAGTTAACCAAATATAATGTACTAATAGGAGTTTCTGGGGGGTACAAACGTTAAGCACTCAACTACTAGCCAAAAGGTCAGCGGTAGAAACCCACCCAGAGGCACCTCTGAAAAAATGTCATAACCTCAAAAACTCTATGGAGCGCAGTTCTACTCAGCACACATGGGGTCACCATGAGTAGTAGGAGCTGTCTCGATGGCAACTAACAACCTGTCGAATTTCTTTTATCTTTAATTTAAAATATCTAATTGAATAATTACTTTCAGTCACATATGGGAAATTTAAAATAACTTTAGGTTTATTATGTTTTTAAGTTCAACATATTGGATCTACAAGAATCATTTAGTACTCAAAAAAGGTTAAGTCAAACAATTGAGTCACTAAAACAGGAACTCAAATATATTAAATTTTAAGACAGAGTTTAAAATATTTGATGAGCCTTAATTCACTAAATTTGTAAATGGAATAAAATAGTTTTCAAAAGCCCTTGTCTTAGTTAGCTAGTGTTGCTGTAACAAAAATACCATGAGTGGGTGACTTTAAAGAACAGAAATGTATTTTCTCACAGTTCTAGAAGCTAAAAGTCCAAATCAAGGTCTCAGCTGATTTAATGACTTCCTTGTAGGTAGCCCTGGGTATTCCTTGGTTCTTTGGCTTGTAAAGGATCCTCATATGGCATCTGCCTTCCGGATTCGTGCTTGCTCTGTGTTTAATTTACTCTTTTTATAATTCAGAAGTGATTAAATTTAGAACTCATCTTGCTAGGGTATGATCCAATTAACATAACAAAGGCACCTATTTCCAAACAGGATTACACTCACAGGTACAGGGGTTAGAATTCCAACACATATTGTTGGGTACACAATTCAATCCATAATAGCCCTTCAAAAGAAATTAACAATATCTATTAAAACCATATGTGTGTATTTATTTCCAAGGACTGCCACAACAAATGACCACAAACTTGGTGACCTAAAATAACAAATTTATTCTCTCAAATTTCTGGAGGCCAAATGTCGGAAATCAAGGTATCAGCGGGGTCATGCTACCTCCAAAGGCTCTACAGAAATCCTTCCCTGCCTCTTCTAGCTTCTGGTGCCTCCTGCCATGTCTTTGTTTGTGGCAGCACAACTCCAAACTTTGCCTCTATCCTCACATGACCTTCTTCCCTGTGTCTCTATGTGTCTTCTGTCTCTTACAAGGACACTTTTCATTACATTTAGGGCCCACCCTAATCCAGGATGATCTTATCTCAAGATTCTTACCTTAATTATATCTGCAAAGATCCTTATTCCAAATAGGTCACGTTCTGAAGTTCTGGGTGAAAATAATCTTTTTGAAGGGCCATTATTCAACCCATTACAATGTACCATGTGCAAGCTCTATGACTCCGTCGATCCAATTTTAGCCATGTCCGTGATTAACTTCTTTCTCTGATAATAAATCACCCCCACCCTGGCCATATATGAGAGAAAGAAACAGAAACGTAATAGCTTTGAGTTCCTAAATTCAATAATCTCTGAGGTCAGCTCAATCCTAGCCCTTTCTATTGTTTGATTATTTGATCCGATACAGTAGCCCTCTTTTTTATTCCGGTAGTGAAGGCTGAGTTTTATTGCTAGTAACTGAAATCCTCTTAACTGATAAAGTAATCAGATTATAGTCCCTTTCAGCTTGAGTTCCATAGAAATCTTATTAATATTAGTCATCATATCCTGGAAGAGGAGTCAAGATATTCAACAAACATGGCTTTAGTTTTAAGATGAAAGAATAACACATTAGATGGACACCCAAACAGACGAAAATACAGTTCTTTCAAAACAAATTAAGAAGGCAAAATTAAGACAAAGTGGGTGAAGATCAGAGATACTGACAAGCCATATTTAAAAAAAAAAAATTTTCCAAGATCTCACACACACCTGTACAAGCACATAATCTCTTTCTTTCTCTCTCTCTTTCATAAACACACACACACACACATACACACATGCATACCCCTTTGGAATAAGGCTAAAATGAATTGGTGTTCAATAAATGGAAGTCAGCCTTGGGTTTTATATGAAGAACCTTAATTTTTTCACAGGATACAGGATATAAATCCAAAAGAAATTATGGTTGTGTGTCACACTAAATGACTAACTTGTGCTATTCTTAGTTATTACAGGTGCTATGATTTTATGTGTATCTTCATCTTAGACATAAATAAAATGCACTCCTTCAGTTGCAGATACTTCTCTTTTTCCTGTATTATCTCATTTCTCAACTTCACTATTTGATGAGATAAAAATTATTCATGAAGTCAAGCTCATACATTTTTCTTCTTCTTTTTTTTTTTTTCTTTCTTCTGATCTCTGAGAAATGTTTTATACATTTGATTGTTTTTTCCTTCTGGTCACTGAGAAAAGAGAAACAAAATGTTCTTTGTGGATATTCTGGGCTAACACAACCAAAGGAAAGAAAAAGATCGGGCCACTGGAGGTCTGAGGTAGTCCTGAACTTAGGAGTAATATGTACCAGGAAGAAAGGAGGAGACAGAGAAACTAAGATGGCAGAGTCAGGGTTTCTCAGTAATCTGAGAGTATGAGACAAATGGAGAGGATAAGATATTTTAATTTGATTTCTCAAGAGCTAAATTACCATGAATACTTGTGTAAGATATGAGTACAGATTGAAACTTATGCCTGATCTTTGATTGAAACATTGCAACATATACTGTACGCAGGTTGATAACAGAGAATATACATATTGTTAAATTCTCAGGCCATAAATATGAAAAGTACACCTCTCTACGTAGCACTGACCATACTGTATGAAGAGGGTCTAAGACGAGGGAGAGGAGTCCAAAAAGTCAAGTCAAAAAAGTCAGAAGCATAAGGTCCCAAGGAAGAAGCAAATAACAAAATACCACATCTAATCAGGAATAACCCTGATCCAATCCAGTTGTAGGTTCCAAGCAAAGAAGCACATTCTGAGAGAAAAGGGTAGGGATACAGCTTGCCATGTTCAAACATTAGGAATGACGAAGGAGGGTCATTTTAAAATTCCATCTGAAAACAAGACAAAGGGGAAGAGAATTAGACCTCTAGCGTGTATTCTAGGAAAAAATCAGGAAAAGTAAGAGGAAAAAACCCTCAATCTACCAGGGGGTTAAAGGGTAGGACAACACTGAGCAATGACCTACAGAGACAGAGAACTGCCAGGCACCTAACAGATCCAGACAAGAAGTAACCAAGTAGCTGAAACCTTCATGCATCTACCCCTACCAAGTATATCTACCTGTTTCCTCAGGAGGCAAATCCTCTAAGAAGTCATCTGCAGCCCGTAGCATCTGCTTCAGTGAAGAGAGGATCAGAAAGTTCTTTGAAAGGCTCAGCTCCCACTCTAAGGTATAATTGCTAACCACGAAGATGTCAGAAAGAGGAAAACCAAGTTCTCTGTGGACAGCCTCTATCTGCAATACAGAGATTAAAGCCCACATTTTTTAAAACAGTGAAAAATTATTCTGTACAAAAACACATTGTGAAAGCAATAACAAAAAGTAGGAGCTTGGCGATAAACTTCCTGAACGAAAAACAGAAGTAGAGAAATAACCCCATAAAGTTCTTCTTGAAGAACATTACAGGTAAGCTGTAACATCACTGCTAATTTTCATTTGGAATATGTGTAAGAGATTCAATATGAATTAGAAGCAAAAGGCAACTAATTGTTCTATAGAAGCTACTATGAAATTGAAGCATTTTTAGTACACTTACACTAGAGTTCATAATTTTCCTGTTTTTTTTTTAAAGTTATTCTCAGGATAAGTCAATTGTACTAGATAGTTAAAGGTTAAAAAAAAAAAACTAAACTAGTTGTGGTCAAGTTGATTCCAACTAATGGCGACCTCATGTGTGTCAGAGTAGAACTGTGCTCCATAGAGTTTTCAATAGCTGTTTTTTGGAAGTAAATTACCGGGCCTTCTTTCTGAGGCACCTCTGGATGGACTTGAACCTCCAACATTTTGGTTAGCAGTCGAGCATGTTAATAGTTCATACAACCCAGGGACTCCATCCTTACTTAAAGTAATTTATCTCTGGAAAACACTGCTGGGTTTCAAAACATTGGCTCTGTAACTTTTTAGCTCTTGTGTTGTGCCATAGAGTCAGTTCCGACTCATAGCGCAACAACAGAAAAAGAAACCCTGCACAGTCCTGCACCATCCTCAAAATCCTTGCTATGTTTGAGCCCATTGTTGCAGCCACTGTGTCAATCCATCTCATTAAGGGTCTTCCTCTTTTTCACAGACACTTTACTTTGCCAAGCATGATGGCCTTCACCAGGAACTGGTCCCTCCTGATAATATGTCCAAAGTACTTGAGACAAAGTCTCACCACATCCTTGTTTCTAAGTGGCATTCTGGCTGTACTTCTTCCAAGACAGATTTGTTCATTCTTCTGGTAGTCCATGGTATAGTCAATATTCTTTGCCAACATCATAATTCAAAAGCATCAATTTTCTTGAGTCTTCCTTATTCATTGTCTACCTTTCACATGCATATGAGGCAATTGAAAATACTACAGTTTGGGTCAGGTGCACCTTAGTCCTCAAAGTGGCATCTTTGCTTTCTAACACTTTAAAGGGGTCTTTTGCAGCAGATTTGCCCAATGCAATACATCTTTTTATTTCTTGACTGCTGCTTCCATGGGCATTGATTGTAGATCCAAGTAAAATGAAATCTTTCACAACTTCAATATTTTCTCCATTTATCACGATGTTCTTTATTGGTCTAGTTGTGAGGATTTTTGTTTTCTTTGTGTTAAAGTGTAATCTATACTAAAGGATGTTTGATCTTCATCAGTAAATGCTTCAAGTCCTCTTCACTTTCTGCAAGCAAGGTTGTGTCATCTGCATATCACAGATTGTTAATGAGTATTGCAGTCCTGCAATCCTAATATCCTGTTCTTCTTCATATAGCCCAACTTCTCGTATTATTTGCTCAGCATACAAATAGAATAAGTACGGTGAAAGGATACAGCCCTGTCGCACACCCTTCCTGACTTTAAACCACACAATATCCCCTTGTTCTCTTCGAACAACTGCTTCTTGATCTATGTACAAGTTCCTCATGAGCACAATTAAGTGTTCTGGAATTCCTATACTTCGCAATGTCATCCGTAATTTGTTATGATCCACACAGTCAAATGCCTTTGTGTACAGGTAAAATACAGGTAAACATCCATCTGCTATTCTCTGCTTTCAGCCAAGATCCGTCTGACATCAGCAATGATATCTTTTGTTCCACATCTTCTTCTGAATCTGACTTGAATTTCTGGCAGTTCTCTGTCAATGTATTGCTACAACTGTTTTTGAATTATCTTCAGCAATATTTTACTTGCCTGTGATATCAATGATATTGTTCAATAATTTCCGCATTCTGTTGAATTACCTTTCTTTGGAATGGACACAAATACGGATCTCTTCCAGTCAGTTGGCCAGGTAGCTGTCTTCCAAATTTCTTAGCATAGAAGAGTGAGTTCTTCTAGTATTGCATTAATTTGTTGAAACATTTCAATTCGTATTTCATCAGTTCCTGGCGCCTTGTTTTTCACCCATGCCTTCAGTGCAGCATGGACTTCTGTCAGTACTATCGGTTGCTGATCATATGCTACCTCCTGAAATGGTTGAATGTCAAACAATTCTTTTCGGTACAGTGACTGTATGTATTCCTTCTATCTTCTTTTGAGGCTTCAAAATTATGACTTGAGGCTTGAATTTTTTCTTCAGTTCTTTCAGCTTGAGAAATACCTAGCATATTCTTCCCTTTTGGTTTTCTAACTCCAGGTCTTTGCACATTTCATTATAATACTTTACTTTGGCTTCTCGAGCCACCCTTTGAAACCATCTGTTCAGCTCTTATACTTCATCTTTTCTTCCATTCACTTTAGCTTCTCTACATTTAAGAGCAAATTTCCATTTTGGTCTTTTCTTTCTTTCCTGTCTTTTTAATGACCTTTCACTTTCTTCATGTATAATGTCCTTGATGTCATCCCACAACTTGTCTGGTCTTCATTGGCATTCAATGTGACAAAATATTCTTTAGATGATCTCTAAATTCAAGTGGGATATACTAAAGATCATACTTTTGGTCTGGTGGAATTGTTTTAATTTTCTTCAAAAGTTCAAGCTTCAACTTGAACTTGCATAGGAGCAATTGATGGTCTGTCAGAACATTCAGCCCCTGTCTCTTTCCACAGATGTAGTCATTTGATTCCTGTCTATTCCATTCAGCAAGGTTCACGTGTATAGTTGCAGTTTATGTTGCTGAAAAAAAAGTATTTGCAATGAATAAGCCATTGGTCTGGCAAAATTCTATCATTTGATTGATCTCCAGCGTTGTTTTATCACCAAGGCCACATTTTCCAGCTATGGATCCTTCTGCTTTGTTTTCAACTGCATATTCCAATCACCAGTAATTATCAATGCATCTTGATTTCATGTTTAATCACTATCAGACTGCAGAAGTTAGTAAGTCTGTCAGTTTGTCGTACTGTGGTGACTTGCATGTTGCTGTGATGCTGGAAGCTAGTCCACCAGTATATCAGATACCAGCAGGGTCACCCACGGTGAACAAGTTTCAGCTGAGCCTCAAGACTAAGACAGACTAGGAAGAAGTACCTGGAAATATTCTTCTAAAAAAATTAGCCAGTGAAAACCTTATGAATAGCAGCAAAACATTATCTGGTATAGTGCCAGAAGATGAGCTCCTCAGATTGGAAGGCACTCAAAAGACAACTGGGGAAGAGCTGCCTCCTCAAAGTGAGTTGACCTTAATGACATGGAAGGAGTAAAGCTTTTTGGGCCTTCATTTGCTGACATGGCATGATTCAAAATGAGAAGAAACAGCTGCAACCATCCATTAATAATAGGAATGTAAGGCGTATTAATCTAGGAAAATTGGAAATTGTCAAAAATGAAAGGGATTGCATAAAGATCAACATTAGTAAGCTGAAATGGACTGGTACTGGCCATTTTGAATCAGACAATCATATAGTCTATTATGCCAGGAATGACAAATTGAAGAGGAATGGCATCATGTTCATCATCAAAAAGAACATTTCAAGATCTATCCTGAAGTACAATGTTATCAGTGATAGGATAATATCCATATGCCTACAAGGAACACCAGTTAATATGACTATTATTCAAATTTAGGCACCAACTGCTAATGTCAAAGATGAAGAAATTAAATATTTTTTCCAAATTCTGCAGTCTGAATTTAACTCTGTAAACGTTGGCAAAGTACTTAAACTCTGTGTGGTATTGTTTTCTCATCTGTAAAATGTAGTAATGGTAGTACCCATCTCACAGAGTTGTTCTGATGAATTGAATAAGATAATGTATTACATATATAATGCTCGAGAAGTATTAGTTATCATTACATTCTCCCAATTGTTGTACTTCCCTCCAGATTCCTTTCAATTCCACTCTGTCTGCACACAGTTGGCAGATTAATCTTTCTGAAGCTTAACTTTGATCACATCACTTCTCTTCCAAAAGATTCCTATGATGTCCATAATGCACCTAATTAAGTAAAATGTCCTCATGGAAATGTCCTCTTTCTCACTTTGTCTCTCCCTACAAGGACCCAGCCCTCCATTAATCTGAACAGCTCTCTGCTTCCCAAACACGCTGCCCTTTCCTACATTGGTATACTGATTTATGCTTTCCCCATGGCCTTTTTCTCCTGTTCTTCACTTCTTGAATTTCTTCCCCTAACATGTCGTTTCTTAGTGCCACTATAGTAATGAAATCTCCTCCCATCCCCTCTAACACAATGTTTTCCTCCTCTAAACTTTTAAAGCACTTTATTTTTGGCCATTTCATGATATTTATCATACTCAATCATATTTATTTATTTGCCAACTCTTTCTTATCCCACTCTTCCATCACCTCATCCTCACCTATAAAATTGAAAGCCTTTTAAGTGAAGGGGAATTGTTCTAATTATCTGTGTATCTGATTAGAGAATATCACATTGCCTTGATTGTTGAAGGTAATCAATAGATATGTTTTGAATTGAACCAAGTTAAATTAAATTTTAATGAATGGAGTTATCTGTGTTAGTATAAAATAAATACATACCATTTTTTAAATTTGGGAATGAGCTTGAATTACCCAGGTAACGGAGTTTATTCTTCTTAAACTCTATAGGTATTTATTTTTATATTAATACACAGTAAGATAATAGGACATGGTGATGTGGTGACGCAGTGATTAAGAGCTATGGCTGCTAACCCAATAGGTCACCACTTTGAATCCACCAGCTGTTCTTTGGAAACCCTATGGGGCAGTTCTACCCTGTCCTATGAGTCAGAATCGACTCAACTGCAATGGGTTTGGTTTTTTTGGTTTCATGGTGATGTAATCCAAAAAATATGTTTACGAAGAGTATCATTCATTACCTTGAACTTCACAGGCATACATCTGTATGGGTCTACAAGGTCAGCTTTCGTAATCAGATGTAGATCTTCCACATAAGTGAGCAAAACCACATGTACCACACCTATGCCAAACAGATACATATGATTTTTAGCATTACAGACAGCATTCATTTAGCATTACAGACAGTATTCTTCAGTTAATTAACTGCCAAATATGCAGTACGCAACCTTACAGGGCCAGGCAACATTTTGTTCTTTTATATATAATGTCACCATGAGTTGTAGCTAACTCGATAGTGACTAGCAACAACAGCAATGCAATAGGCTATCTATGGAGTAATTTCAAACGTTTGGGAAGACCCCTTCCACCGCCACCCCCCATCAAAAAAAAAAAAAAAACAAAAACAAAACCTGAACTAATCAGTTAGTGCCTGGAATTCCTCTGACATGGGAAGTCCTTTCGTTGCCTTCCATTTGAGAAATAAGGCTTCAAATGAAAGCACTTCTTGAAGAGGTAACTAAAATTTATGCTACACTACTGCTGATTGTTTTCACATCCTATCCAAACAGTTGTGTTTTGACAGAGACTGGAAAAGAAAACCAAAGGGCTCCAACAAAAAAAGTGAAGGAAAAGAGGTCTCAAGAAGGACAGAATGTGTCAAAGCACTGTAAATAACCTGTTCCTATTCACAGTACTAGCAAGTGCCTCACCTTTGCAAGATTTTAGATTTCAATGAGCAAGTAAGTCAATGATTCCCTGTTTCTAACTCTACTCAAAATTGTGATAAACTGGCTCTTTCCCGAACAAAATGTATAATAAGGCCAAGAAAAGCTGGAGTGGGATACCCTAACTTCTGGTTCCACTTACCCTCTCTGAAGACTACAATCTACCTCTCCCTACCAAAAATTTTATTTTTCTGCTTCCTTTTCCTTAATGAAATGCTCTTTTCTACTTTCTAATCTTTTAAAGCCCAAGGGAAACTCTAGGACTCTTGATCAATAATTGCATGCTATTATGGAGGGGTAGTACGTAGCTAGGGATGACTGGGCTGTACTAAACTTTTAACATCTGTTGATTTGTTTAATCCATACAATAAATCTCTGGGGTAGGTGTTATTATTATACTAATTATGCAGACTGGGAATTGAGGCATAGAGAGTTTAAGTCACTTGCACAAGGTCATACAGTTAATGAGTGCCCAAATTCATTGAACTGTGCTGGTGGGCCAGGAAACATTCAGAGAAGCAATTCTGTAAATTCCTTGTCCTGTCCAAAAAACATTCTACAACATAGGTTAATCAAACCTTAGTAGCAAAGTGGGGTGATACTCACCACACTTTATCACTTCCCTTCGAGTTCTTTTGATCTTTGCCACCATCTCCTGAGAGAGGTTTTCAACAGTGTTGGCATCCAGCACAAATGCCACACAATGAATTCTGTCCTTCAGCAATGGACAGTCAATGTAATTAACATGGCTTGGTGTGATTGGTTTTATAGAATTAAACTGTAAGGTAAACATAAAGCAACATATTAACAAATGTTTATTAGCATATACTATTTGCTGGGTATTCTGTAAGTGAACAAAATAGTGAAAAAATAGACAGGTCTCTAATCTTACGATGCTTACATTCCGGCAGAAAAGATGGTCATTAGAAACACATAGGTCAGATAAAGGTTTAATATCTTTAATCTCTAAATACTACTCAAATCCACAACAAAAAATAATAAATTGAAATCAAGTAAAGGACCTGAATAGGTAATTTTCAGAAGATACAAATGGCTGATAAATATGCAAAAGGGCACTAAATCTCACTAATAACCAAAGAAATGTGAATTATAATGGCAAAAATGCTTTTCCTCTACTATATTAAAAATATACCAAGTACTCTTTTTACCCACAGTTGGAGAGGGAACGGGGAAAAAGGGCACTTTTATTTTTTCTTTCACTTTTTGTGGAACTCCAAATTGATTTAATCCCTTTGGATTTTTGGCTACTTCTCCCCATATTTGTTATGTGCTACCAATATTTTAAAATGTACATACTATTTGGCCCAGAAATGTATTCTTCAGAAATACTCCCACAAGTATACAAATATATTTTCACAAGAATGTTCATTGCAACATTATTTTGAAGAATGAAAACTAAAAGCAACTGAGCTATTTATGAATAATATTCAGTCATTTTAAAAACTGAGTCTGTGCTATATGTACTGATGTGGAATGATACTCACAATACATTGTAAAAAGAAATTATAACAAGTTGTTTAAAATATGTACTGCATTATTGCATTTAGGTTACGAGTAGTTCCCTCTAAATTGTGGTGTTAACAGAGTGAGGAAGAGAATTTTATTTTATACTTTATACCTTTGGTATTGAAGTGTTCTTTCGACAATATATAATACTTTTCTTAACATATATACAGACACGTAGGGAAGAAAACAAGCGTGGATGCAGGGAGGCCAGTAAGAAGGTCAACATTAAGAGAGATTGTGAATTCACACATCTTAGTCTGAAGCATCAGATATCACTTTCTCCAAAAGCTGTCCTTAATAATAATTCTGCTCTTCCACTATCTCTCTTGGGTGTCTCTCTTCTCCCAATAGGATCTTGGACATATCATTAAACTTACCTTAATGATTTGCAATGATTTCCTTAGGTGACAGATTCAAACCCCACACCTCCCCCCCCACCCCCATACTCTCTCCCTGCCCATATGAATTGTGAACTCCACAAAAACCACCAGTTGTCATTGAGTAATTCCTAATCATGGCAACCCTGTGTGTGTCAGAGTAGAACTGTACTTCATAAGGTTTTCACTGGCTGATTTTTCAGAAGTAGATCACCAGGCCTTTCTTTTGAGGTACTTCTGGGTGGACTTGAACCTCCAACCTCTTGGTTAGCATGAGAGCACATGAACTGTTTGCACCACCCAAAGATTCCTATGTATATTGCAAATTGCACAAGAGCAGGAATCATGATTTATTTAATTGTGTATCTGCAGCATCTTTCAAAGAGTCAAGAAATTCACAGACAATTGTTGAATATGTGAAAATAATTAAATAACTGAGTCACTAACTGATGCAAAATAGAAGAGTAAACAATTACGTTCAGGCTACCTCTCCCTACCAAACATCTTATGTTTCCTGCTTTCTTTTCCTTGGTGAAATGTGCTTTTCCACTTTGTAATCCTTTAAGATCCAAGGGAAATTCTAGGACTCTTGACCAATTAACACATGTTGTGATAGAGGGGTACTAGGCACAAATTAGGAAGCAAAGAATGTAATATTTCTTCTTTTTTTTTTTCAGATTGGCACTTGTGTCTATAATAGCCAATGTCCAAATAAATTGTAATAAAATATGATTATTCAAGTGCTTTCTTTCTGTTAGCAAAAATACAAATGATTAAACTAGAACTTTCTAGTTAATTCAGTCTTTACGGAATGAAGATTGCTGATGGCCTTTCTGTCCTTGTTATAGTGCCTAGAATACTGTAGATGCTCAACAGATATTTGTTGAATTAAAATTTTGTTGAATTAAGAGTATCATTAATTTAATGAGGACTGTACATTACTGTGGCCTTATCTAATCTCACCGATGAAATCTTTCATCAGAGTAAATAATTACTAAATCAGATCAAGCAGGTTACTTCTAAAATATATTAAAGCAGTATGTAAATGTTTTCACTGTCAGATGATCCTAAGTCCCTTGGATGCTAGCATCCCACGCTTTAAAAGTCCATGTGAGGACAGAAGAGGATCCAAAGTAACCCTTATGCTTTTGCCATCTAGATATCACGCAATGGTGTTTATAAACACTTTATAGAATTGATACAAACTTTCATTTGTTACCGGTTGACTATTTGCCTATACACCTAGCAAATACGCAATTCACTTTTCTTTTATGAGAGATATATTTGAGAACAGTGTTAAACACTTTCTGAGAAATCTTTTCTGAACCACCAAAGATTGAGTTAGGTGTGAAAACGGTTTGAGCTTGGCTGATAACTGAAAGATTGGCAGTCTGAACACACACAGTGGCACTGCAGAAAAGGCCTGGCTATCTGTTTCCATAAATGATTACAGCCAAGAAAACCCTATGGAGCAGTTATACTATGTAACACATGGAGTCGCCATGAGCTGGAATCAACTCAATAGCACAAGACAACAACTTATTCTATATACACCTAAAGCACTCTGTTCTTACCCATATTGTAGTACGTGTTTTACTGTAGAAGTATGTATTCCTTACAGAAGACTGCAAGCTCCTTAAGGGCAAAAAAAAAATCTGTCTGAGTGCCACTGTAACCTCAGAGCCCGACAAGTAGTAAGTTTTAATTTACAAACATTATATATTTATAATTCATAAAAATTCTACAGAGTTTGTGGCAGACATTGCTTAGATGCCTACTTAGCAATAAAGACTAAATTATATTTAGGAACAAAATGTACCCAATAAAAAGTGTTTACCTCCCAAAACTCCCTTGCAGCTGGGGTAGCCATGTGACCCAGCCTGGACCATTGAGAAATAATCAATGAGCTTTCTTAGAATCTTAGAAAGCCAGTTTTTCTCTGGATTAAGAAAAAATTAAAAAGACTAAGGTGTCTCTTTGATCTCCCCCGTCCTCTTTCCTGGAACACTGATAGTGCTCAGGGTGAACATCTTGAGAGCGTAAGGATGAGAACTACATGCTGAGGGTCTCAGAAGAGAAAGTCAGGAGGACTCCTGACATTAAATGACCTCAGAGAGCTGCCACACCAGCCCCAGACTGCCTGCCTCCGAACTTCCTGTTACATGAGAAAAATTACCTACGTGGTTAAGTTGATGTGGTTGTATTTCTGTTTCACATAGCCAAAAACAATTGATGTGGTGTTCAGTGTGACAGCATTCACAGCTATTATGCCAGCTATGAGGAGACCCCGGGTGGTGCAAACAGTTAAGTGAGCAGCTACTATCTGAAAGGTTAGTGATTCGAACCCACAGGTGCCTTGAAAGATCTGCTTCTGAAAGAGCACAGCCTTGAAAACCCTAGGGAGCAGTTCTACTCTGCACACGTGGGGTCGCCATGAATCCAATTCCGCTTGACAGCAACTAACAACAACGACAGCTCTGACAGTAGATTCCTTCAGATATTTTGAGTCTTTATGAAGTCTTTATAAAATAATCAAAAAGAAACAAAGGACCTTGTACAAGCGTAGTCTAAGAAAATAAATGCTGAGGCACGTCAGCTAGACTACAGCCTGATGTTGTGGGTAGTAGACAAACATAAGCATTTTTAAAAATCACTTATAATTTCTTAATGATTAGTCAAATCCTACCTGGTATCTGTCAGGAACGTGGCCTTTTAAGATGTAGAATATGTCATCAATGCACAGCCCCTCCTCTTTCTCACCCAGCCCCATTGAATCACATAGAACAAATGGTAGGGGGTTCCCATCTTTCCCATCCTTAATGGAATATGTCCTGAACTGCAGAAGGAAAAAAAGCAATTTTAACAGTTCGTTAAAAAAAATTGTAAATTGGTGTGAAGTCTACGTGTAATGAATTTGATCAGCAAAAAGCTTTGTGAATCTAATTAACTGAACAAAGAAGCAAAGGCTTGATGACCCAGGAAGTACTCACCTGCTTTGTATCAAAGCCCATCACAGACTGGTTAGTTACACGGCCTCGGAAAACAGACTTCACTGAGTTAATAAAACTAGACTTTCCAGCTCCAGTTGGACCCAGGAGAAGTATTCGTATTTGGTGAACCAAACCTCTACATGGGTTGTAAGTTCTCATGTCAGATGATAAGCTCTTACTGAGCCTGTTTAGACACAAATTTTAACAATAGACTGAGGTTGGTCACAAAGATCTTACCATAAATTTTCCTGAAATTCGTTCTATTCTCTTGTATATTATTATTTATTTTTTGATTAGTAACTTGCCTTCTTATATAAAAAGACATGAGGTGGTTCTGAGCCTACCCTACTTCAAATTGCAGGTGAAAGAAGGTAAAGCAAAAATAACAATTTTAACTAAATCCAATCATGCATAAAACATTTTAGACTTAAGCTACTAGATCATATAAACTAGGAATAAATATCACAGAAACATGAAGGTGAATTACCAATAAAGAACTTTAAATATCACATTATCATATGTGATTTTTGCAGTTTGTGGAAGTAGAACACTTCTAACATACTATTGAATTTCACAATAGATACTCCCTACTTGCTACCCACCCACTTCCACAGCAATTTCCTGGCTTAGCTGACACTGAAACTTTGTAAGCAAAAATGCAGGTATGCAGCCAAATAGTTATCTTCCTTTAAATACATAAAAAATTAGAAATGTCTTCCTGCTAGTCAGTGTTCTTTTTGTTTTAGCATTACGTGTTAAAATTATCAACTATTTTCATGATTGCAGATATAGCTTGTTCTTGATTTTATTGACCAAAACTATCAAAGAGTAAGACTAAGACAATAAACAGAGTAATAGAATGTCAAAAACATTGACTTACTCAGTGACCATATTTATCTTTCTTTGATCCAATAAATCTAGGAAAATAATAATAAAAAAAATGAGCATTAAAAGTTGCTGAATGACTAGCTACCTGAATGAATAATATAAATGAATTTACTAGGGACAAACACATAAATCACTTTCCGTGAGAACAGTGCAGTATAGTGGAAAGTGAAGGAAATTCTGGCAAATTCCTTTAACATCATCTGAATTGGATAGGCTAGAGCTAGAGGCAAGATGGATTACTGCAGGATTGTAGTGTCTGTACATAGAACGCTAGTCCCTAGTGTGGTTCAACATCAGTTAGAGGCTAAGGTGACGGGGCTGGAGAAAAATTCCAGCAGAAACGCAGGAAACAGCACATCTTATCTTTGACCCAGTTACTCAGCAGCAGTGCATAGTTCACTCCATCAAGGGTATCAGGGGCAGAGCAGGAGTGGAGGGCACTTTCTGTATCTGGGAGGCAAGGCCTTGAGGCACAGCTAGACCAGAAAAAGGCTGGGAATGCTCCTCTAAGATATTTTCCTCAAAATAATCCAGTAGGTCTGAGAGGGATAATGTGCAGAAACACACAGAAAAACCACTGGCACCAGATTTTCTCCCAAACCTACCATCCACAGTTGGGCTTTCAGGAACTTGCAGCCGAACCGATTGTATTCTTGGCTTCAAGAAGGAATGTAGGACTCAAGCGTGGACAATCAGAATACAATCAGTATTCAGGGGTGGGCTGAGAGCTTCATTCGAACCAATGGGACTCAGACATAGAATTGGTTTTTTTTTTTTTTTTTAGTTTCTTTGGAAATGAGATACTCTGTTCTTGTGGATTTAAAACTGAAAGGATTAGGTGTAACAACACTGGCAGTTCTCTAAGCTACAAAAGAAGAATATTATGTGGAATATTTATAAATGTGGCCATAAGTAGCATAAGAAAGAGAACCTCATTAAATTATCAAAAGCAGAAATAGTGAAGACCACTTTCTATGACTGCAATATCGTAAAACCAAAAAAGAACAAGTAACCACCTGGATTTTGAAAAGACACTTTCTTAAATAACTATGAGGGCCATATGGAGAAGAAAAATTGTAAATGCATAGAAAATAACTACAATACCAACACTTTATATCAATTTTGCAATGAGAGCATATTTCAGAAAAATTTTTGAAAATAGAAAAGAATAAAGGAACTAACCATGGGAATATAAGCTGAAGCAAATAATAAAATGATAAAGACAAATGTAAAAAAATTTTAAATGACAAATTAATATAGTCATTTATTAGTTTAAAATGTAAAACAAATAAATTACTAACTAGTCTCATCAGAGAAAGCCAAATGCACACACCATAATTGGCACATGCTTTAAAACTGCCAGTACCAAGTGTTAGAGAAGATTTGGAGTGAGGAAACTCACCTACACAACTTGCGGTAGAGGAAATTGGTACAACTACTTGGGGAAATTTTGTCAGTATTCTACTGAAGTTGAACCTACACATATCCTATCACCTAGCAGTTTCACTTGCACATTTAATCTTCAAAAAATACATTATGTATGTGAACCAAAAGACACGGCCAAGAATGTTTATAGCAACATTATTTGTAATAATCCAAAACTGGAAAACCCAAATATCCATCAATAGTGACTGAATAAAAGAATATGTGATATATTCATGTCATGGAATATTATATGAAAATGAAAAAAAGTACAGCTACATACAATAATATAGATAAATCACTAGGGAGGAAGGAGTTGAAGCAGCTGACTTGTGATCCATTCACTCATGTTACTGGGGGCACTCTCAGAAAAAGAAAGACCAGTCTAACTTCCTAATAAATAGACTAATGATATTGGCTACAAGGAAGAATATTTATCTCTAGAATGTCCTTAACAGGGTATCCCTGGTTAAGAATTCTTACAGTAATAAATCCAGATTCTGTGAATTTATGAAACATGGCTTCCTGAAAATTTCATAGAAGTTGGGTATAAAATAAAGATGTTCCATAACCTAACCACTCTCCAATATGTAAGGTGACCCCCAGGCATCACCTAAAATCCCTGTCGATTTTTCTAGGTCAGAAATCCTATGTCCAAAATAGGAAAGAATGATCTTGGGAGTCACACAAAGTATCCCAGTCTTTCTACTGTCTCTGGAAGTTTGATTGTCTTTATCCTTGAAATTACTAGTAAAGTCTGATACTAGGTAATATTGCTGATTTGTAGGGGTATGATTTTACAATCCAATCTAGTGTATTAGTTCAATCTCACAAATATAATGTTGAATGAAGGAGTCAGATATAAAGGGACATATATTTTTGTATGACTGCATTTACATAAAGTTCAAAAATAGGAAAAATTAATTAATGGTGAGAAAATAAAGAATAATAGTTATCTTTCATTGATAGTAACTAGAAAGAGTCATAGACCAGTCTTCTGAAGTAATGGTACTAATCTATTTCTTCATCCAAGTAGTGGTTACATGAGTGTGTTCAATTTGTAAAAGTTTGTCAATTAGTACACTTATCGATTGTGCACTTCTCTGTTTATATGTTATACTTTAATGAAAAGCTTACTTCAAAAAGAATGAGAGAGAAAATGAGAGCTGCGGAAGGTAATAATGAAAATTCAACAAATGCATGATTAGGTCCTATAAGTAAACAATGAAATAAATACCCAACAAAATGAAGAAATACTTAAAGAGGGAAAAAAATGATAAAGATATCGGAAATAAAAGATGTTTAAATCTACATAGTAAGAGACACACTCTTTCCCAGGGAAAACTGATCAATATTTTCAACATCATGACACATCTTAATAAATTTACCAGTAGTCAACCATAATTTAAAAAGAAAATCTTTTGGATAGCCAAGAGTTAAGCTCAAATCACTCACCAGGGAAAAATTAAAAAAATAAAAACTAAATCTGGTCTTAGGTTCTCCACAGCAACATAAATACTGTGGAAACTTTATAAAATCCCCAAAGAAATAAAAGGTAATCCAATGATCATGTGCTCTGATAGCCATTCAAGTATAACAACCACAGATAAATAGTTTGGAACATGCGTACACGAAGGGAATATTGTTCCCAAGAGGCCCTCTTTTAAATGTGTAGAAATAAACAAGTATTTCATAGAAGAACAAATGCAAATGACCAATACACATAGGCTTGTTAGTTATCAGGGATAAGCAAACAAGAAAATGAGAAACCATCTTTTGACCATCAAGTTGGAAAATATGCTAACGTTCAATAATGTCAAAGAGTGGCAAAGATGCAGGGAAATAAGCATTTCTATAACACTGCTGAGGATTGTATGGACAACTGAAGCTTTTGTAAAACACATTGAAAACCCATTGCTATCAAGTTGATTCCGACTCATAGTGACCCTATAGAACAGAGTAGAACGGCCCCATAGAGTTTCCAAAGAGTGGCTAGTAGATTCGAATTGCTGACCTTTTAATTAGCAGCCAATCTTTGTAAAGTGTCTATCAAAATGCAAGCATACATAATCTTTAAAGATCAACTGGGCTCCCAGGAAGTTACCCTAGAAAGTTCTTTTGTGCCAAAAAAAAAAATTTATGCATAACATATTAGAGGTACACTGTTTATAATAACAAAAATGGGAAACAAATGTCCTTTAGTAGAAAAACAAGTACATCAATTGTGGTCTTTTGATAAAATGGGAAACTGCAGCGGAAGGTATCCAGTACAATCAAGACAAGTTCAACCTTTGGTTTCTTTTCAAGAGCTTCTCAGAATCTTAAAATCTTCAAGTCTCTCTCTAACTCTCCTTTCTCTCTCTCTCTCTCTCTCTCACACACACATACTCGCATGCACACACACACATCTCTCCTCTCTTTTCTCTCTCTCTCTGACTCCCTCCCACCTTTTTTCTCTCCCTCCCTACCTTCCCACACACAAACACACTCCAGAAAATGCTGTATATTCTACTTCTACCATGGTGACCTAGCAAACAATTTATGGCCAGGTTTCAGTCTGGGCCATCTGGAGATAAAGACAACTGAAAAGGCCAAGAAAAATTGAAAGAAGGTTATATTTTAAACCATTTTTTCTTAAAGAGATAGATCAGCTCAAACCCACCAAACATGCAGGGGAAAACTCTGTATAGGGTTATCTGAGTAAACTCACCTTCACATCGAAAAACCTCACATTCCTGAAAACAGATATCACCTAGAGGTAATCCAATTTCTTTCATTATATTGTAACTCATAGATATGTAACACGTATATATATTTATATTTAAGTCACGGTTGCCATAGTATAATATGTTTCTGTCACATCTTTGTCCATCAACATCATTGTTAGTACATGCCTTAAATCGTCTTATTTCAAATTCTGAATTTTCAGTCCTTTGGAATGAAAAAAGGATGACAGAACCTTTGTTTATTTGCTGGTAACTCTCTTGCACATATGCCCCAATAATATACGTTTCACTATAAATCACTGTTATAGTTGGTCCTTGATTAGAGCATCGCTGAAGCAAGTCTCCACTGGAGGATCCATGGATTGTAGCCTTATAGAGAAGGCTGAACTGCTTTCCTCCAAAACAGTTTTGCAGAACCTTTTCTTGCATCCATGTCAACTGAGTTGTCACTGCCATGCTTCCCAATCTAGAGGAAAACAAAGTGTATTTTCCATTAAATATTGAAAACAGACGGCATGTGCTGTCAGAAAGCTTGAATTTACACCTTTTATTTATTCTACATTACACATGAAATGAGCAGAGTTAACAAGAAAAAAAATTAGCTAGTTTTCCATTCTAAGCTATCATTTCTAATTAAAAATTATTTAATTACACACAAAATTATTTGCAAGTAGCTAGGATACAGTGGAAAGCAGCAAGTCATTTACCTGTTTGTCAAACCTGTACAAGGGCTGGAGCTGAGGGTAGCTGCTTTGTTTGATAACTAGGCAGACACAAAATGGAAGCAGAAAATTCTTCAGCAGTTAGGGGCTTTGGAAACACAGAGAAAGGAAACTGAAACTCAACGTAGCCCTGCCCAATTGGCAACACCCCAACTTCCGTTAGTGATGTGCCGTAAACAGATCCAGCTAATTTTAGATAGCAAAGTCAAATAAAAATAATATCAAGAGAATCAAGGAATTGAAGTCAGAGGGAAGAAAAAAGCTCATTAAATTTGTGTGTCTGACTTTTTTTGTTTTTTAAAGAAAGCTCAAGCAGTTTCTTTATAAGGACAAACAAAAAGGCTATCTATTTTACCTCTAGAGTACATGTCTCAAATCCATGCACTTCTTTTCATCTCTGCTCTCAATTTATTCCAAACCAACATATTTTCTTATGTTATAATAGCCTTCTAATTGGTTCCCCTCTCCAATTCATTGTCTTCATAGAAATAAGAATCAACTTCATTTGTAAGTTGTAAGTCAAATCATTACTTACTAAAATCTCTTCTCCAACTTCACCCTTGCTGAGGTCACAACTTGTACTCTATAGGTTGAATGGAATCTGCAGATTTGTTTTGTGGGTCCAACACAGTTCTTTTTTCTTATTTAATTTTTAATTCAAATGCTTTTACATGAGGCCTCCACTCTTCTGTTGCCTGTGGTCCTCACAATTTCCCTAGTGCCTATACCTGACTGGTTCTCACAAATTTAAATTACCACAATGCCGTTGTTAGGTGCCACTGAGTTCATTCCAACTCATACACAACAGAAGGAAACACTGCCGGGTCCTGCGTCATCCTCACAATTGTTATGCTTGAGCCCATTGTGGCAGCCACTGTGTCAATCCGTTTCATTAAGGCTCTTCCTCTTTTTCTCTGACCCTCTACTTTACCAAACATGATATCCTCCTGGGACTGGTCCCTGCTGGTCCAAAAGCATGTGAGAGAAGTCTTGCCATCCTCGCTTCTGGTTAGCATTCTGGCTGTACTTCTTCCAAGACAGATTTGTTTGTTTTTCTGGCAGTCCATGGTATATTCAATATTCTTCACCAACACCAAATTCAAAGCTGTCAATTCTTCTTCTATCTTCCTTGTTCATTGTTCAGCTTTCGCATGCATATGAAGTGATTAAAAACACCATGGCTTGAGTCCGGTGGACCTTAGTCCTTAAAGTGACATCTTTGCTTTTTAACACTTTAAAGAGAGCTTTTAAAGCAGATTTGCCCAGTGCAATGCATTGTTTGATTTCTTGACTGCTGCTTCCATGGGCACTGATTATGGATCTAAGTAAAATGAAATCCTTGACAACTTCAATCTTTTCTCCGTTTATCGTGATGTTACTTATTGGTCCAGTTGTGAGGATTTTTGCTTTCTTTGTGTTAAGGAGCAATCCATACTGAAAGCTGTGGTCTTCAATCTTCATTAATACGTGCTTCAAGTTCTCTTCACTTTTAGCAAGCAAGGTTGTGTCATCTGCATATCAGCCCAGGTTGTTAATGAGTCTTCCTCCAATTCTGATGCCATATTCTTTTTCATATAGTCCAGCTTGTTGCATTATTTGTTCAGCATACAGACTGAATGAGTATGGTGAAAGGATACAACGCTGATGCACACCTTTCTGTTTGAATGACTGCCTCTTGGTCTATGTATAAGTTCCTCATGAGCACAATTACCTGTTCTGGGATTTCCGTTCTTCACAATGTTATCCATAATTTGTTATAATCCACAGTCAATAAAACACAGGCAAACATCTTTCTTTTTTTTTTTTTATTGTTATGTATTTGAAGGCTTACAGAACAAATAGTTTCTCAT